CTCTCTCTCTCTCTCTCTCTCTCTCTCTCTCTCTCTCTCTCTCTCTCTCGTTCTGAGAGAAAGAGCGGGTAAGAAGAGCAGAGGAGCAGCGAGAGCGAAGAGCACCTCCGACGCAACCGCGAGGCTGCTGACGCCGCGGGAACTTCCTCTAGGCCAGCAGGTAGCTCAGCTCGGCTTGGCGCGTAGATTGCGAGGCGGGGGATATAAAAGAGGAAAAGGGGAAAAAAAATTAGGGGAGACGCGGAGCTGGAGCGGCGCCGAGCCCAGAGAGAAGCGCCTTCAGAGAAAGAGCGGGAGAATAAAAGCTTTTAGGAAAGATTTCCATTTCCTTTGGGTCCGCGGGCCTCGGTCGCGCGGGCTATGTGCTTCAGCGGCGCGCGCGCGGAGCGGACCCTCCACACACCACCTGGGCGCAGGCCACCCCCGCCACGCCCCGCCCTAACCACGCCACGCCCCGCCCTAACCACGCCCCGCCGCACCCCGAGACCTCAGAGAGAGCAAAGAGCATTCATAATGGAAGACCCTGGCGAAGCACAACAGGCTGACGTCAAATATTCAGACCGCTTTGCTCCATTCAAACCCGTGGGGCGGAAGGGGGGAGAGGAAGAAAGGGTCGAGGGATGAGGAACGGAGGCTGTGGTTAAAAAAAGAAAGTGCCACGCGAGCATTCTCTCTTTTTCTCTCTCTCTCTCACTCTGTCCGTCCGTCTCCATCCTACTCGGAAGCCCTTCAATGGGCGAGGCGGGCGCAGCCAAGTCCTATCACCCAATTCGAAAGAAACAACCCCAATCCCCGCCACGAGGAGCGCGCGGCACTGGGACCCGGGACGGACGCCGCCCACCCAAACGAGAAAAAAAATGAAAAAGAAAAAAAAATAGGAAAATAAAAAAGTGGAGAAAACAAGCCAACTCTGAAGGCGCGACATGAAATGACTTGCGAATCCCTTTCGGAGTAGAAGAGGAGCGATAGCAAACGAAAAAAAAAAAAACCGAGCCGGGGCAAGAAAATGGCCATCAAGAAAGTGACCCGGCGAAGGAACCGGAGGGGGGAGGGGGGAGGGACGCAGCTCAAAGTTGTTCGCAAAGCTAATCACCACCTGAGCGGCCTGAGCCGAGAGCGTCCAGCCAGCGGGAGCGGAAGCGGCGGGGAAGGGAGGGGGGGGGAGAAAAGTGAGAAATTTAAGTAAGCCAGCTTTACAGCCCTGCGCCAGCAGCATGCTGGTGAGGAAGGTTGGAAAAGAAAGGGGGGGGGGAGGGGGTAAACCAACGGATTAGGGAAGGGAGGTTGCAATGTTGCACTAGCAGCTCGGCAGGGTAGTAGAGCTGGCAGGGATGAGGCAGGTGAGTAGAAGGCAGCAGGTGAGCGAGCTGGGCGGTGAGTTGATTGCGTTTCAATGTTGCACAAGCTGCCGCAGCTGCTGCAGCTGCTCATTGTGGCAATAAATCCGAACAGATAAGACGTGTTCCCGGGTTTTCGTCGGGCAAGCTGGCCGCGGCCTAGCTGGCGCACTGTCCCTCTTGCCGGCCTCCTGCCAGCTCTCTCTCAATATCTTGCCCAAAAGCCAAAAAACCAGGGAGGTTCTATTTCCCAGGGAGATGAGTGGGGTCGTAGGCCCCCGCGTCCGGCCGACCTCCTGCCCGTAGGGCCGAAATGGACCTCGTCCACACACGGTGGCGCACCAGCTGGTGCGCGGGGAAGGTTCGGGCCCTTGTCAAGGGTAGAGAGAGGAGAGCGCGGGGGTTGGGGGGTTGAAAGTCCAGCCGGCCCCCACCCTCTCGATCCCCCCACCCGCTGGATATACTGGACGCACAGCACACCGCCCGTCCCCGCGTGCAGAGGAGTTAAACTTTTAACGTGCCCTACCCTACCCTGTACCCACTGGGCTGCCGGGCCGGGCGCCGCGCACCGCGCCATCACCCCGCCCCACCCGAACCCACCGCACGGCGCCACATGACAAACGACGGGCCGCCCGCTGTTGAACCGCCTGTACTCCCACGCAGACGCCAAACAAGACGAAATGGGAGAGGGGGGGGGGGTGAACGAAGGAGGAGGAGAAAAAACCACACGATGGTCTAGCAGACGACGCAGTGGGCGAGGCCGGCGAGGCGGCGGGGTGTAGGCCGGGCGCCAGCAGCCAAGGTGAAGGCCGGCGCCCGTCACGCCTGTGCCGTCGCTGTGCTCAGAATAGAGGACTGTGTCGCACCCGGCGGCCCCGCCGGGCCCCGCCAGGCCCACATACCTTATCAAGAAGGAAAACAACCACGGGAAAAAAAGAGAACGGCAAAAGCGAACGAATTTCGCCGGCAAGGAAGATAAGGCTAAGGTGGTATGGCAAAAGATTTTACTTTTTTCGGATGTCTGTACGTAGGGCTTTTCTTGCGCGGCTGCCGTGTACCCGCGGGCTCGGATACACGGCCCCCTCCGGGAGCAGTACGCCGGTAGGAAGGACACCGCGTCCTCTTGCGCAATACAGGCGGGGCCTCTGCCGTGCCCCGCTCCCCGCTGCAGTCCCCCCGAGGACGCGTCTAGGCCGTTAGGCACGACGCACCCACGAGTGCGCGGCTGACCGTGGCCGAGGACGCGCCTCCCCTCGGGGTCAAGCACACCACCACCAGAAAGCGCGGCGCGAATAGAACAGTGTCAGGGTTGAGTCGGACGCAGGAGCTTAGGGGGCCGCTGAGCGCGCGTCGCTAGAGGCGGATCCAGAGCCGGAAATAATTCGAGAAGAGCTTTAGGGGGGAGGGAACGGGATAGGGCAGAAGGGTGGTAGTGGTGGTGGTGATGGTGGTGGAGAGACCATTAGACCAGGGCCGCGTCAGCTAGAGCTGGCTGTCACCCGACACCGCCCGCACCGCCCCCGACCACTCCACAGCCGGAATTTTATTACGTATTTTCCCCCCTGCCCCCACCCTCTTTCCAGTTGGACGCTCTCCACTTTACGGGGAGGTAACCTCATTTGCCACCTCCACATGCGACCCCCCTTCTCCACGGGGGGCCACAGGGTGTGGCGGAAAGAGGGAGGTAGGCGGGAGGGTGCAGGGAGGGGGGAGCTGGAGGGGGG